AAACTAATTGACCTTTTTATAGCAATTATATCTGGTTCTCCATCTTCTGTCAAAAGGGTTCCTAGTGCAGAGCTCTGAACGTGTTCCAGAATTTCTGATACTATATGCTTCATTATTTCGCGTTCTTCCCTTTTCTTTTGAATCCAAGGTTGGAGGACCTGTTATGTAGCATAAGTATTGAACATGAACGAGGATGAATCAAGTAGTTAGTGAAAACTCCTTCATGAATATCTCTGTGATCTAGCAAATTAATCTGGTTTAGCTAGACTCTCGATGAACTTAAATCTTGTTTTTATGGAGGCAATGAGAAATATTTTGAACCAGGTAGCAAAAGATGGTACCTCGTACAAGTGTTTCAGTGACTTTTTGGAGAGATATCGTTTACCCAATGCTTGTTTTGTGTCATCAACCCATTTTGTAACGCCACTGACAAATTCATCAATGCTAATTTTCTCATCAGCGTCCAAGTCAAAATCCCTCAACATCTCTGCCGTTGCTTCATTCTTGTCCAGCTCTACATTCCTAAATTTGATTTCCTTGAGCAATTCTTGTAGCTCAGTAACAGAGATGAAGTTGTCCCCATCATGATCCGTATTTCGAAATAGCCTGCAGCAGAGCAGTACGAGTATTTTAATGTTTCTTCAACCAAAATAGATGGAAATTTCAGTTTCCATCTGAATTTGACATCACACCTTCTAATCGCTGTTACATTAGGTGCCCCTTTAGGGGTAAGTACCGCGCCTATTTCATGATTCTGCACATGGTTCAGGATGTCAACCACCAAATGTTCATGTTTTATGTATTCTAATCGTCTTCTTTGGATCCATGGCTGAAAGATCTGCGTAGCATTCCCAAGTCAAGATCACCACAAAAAAGTTGACAACATTGTGGAAGAAAACTAATCACAATCATAATGTAGCAAAAATTAAGCACTAAATAGATTGGAGAAATGTGCATAGTGAAATGGGGGAAAAAACAATAATCTCTGCTTCAAATGAATTACCTGATAGAAGAAGTATACGAGCAAGGATGTGACAGAAATAAGCAGGGAGATAATGATGAAAGCTAGTTCCCCCGAAGAAGATAGACCAAAGACTACTGGAACTTGGATGGTAATAAAGGGTATCACTGAGAGAACCATAATTCTTGCTGTGTGCGATGTCCTTGTATCCATTGTCAATCCATAACCTGCGACAGCAACAATTTATGCTAATCTAAGTATATGGCACTACTTAAGGTAGATGTTAAAGGCACTCAGAAGCTATTCAAGTGGAAAATGAAATTAGGAACAAACCCTTCGATCGGGAAAATAATCTCTTGAATTGGCTTCGATTGTCGGTACTGGAACTTGCCAAAGAAGTACGTTTCTTGCCATTGGGGAATTCTTGACTGGCAACGATGACACAAGTTCCCCAAACTATTGTAAGCAGCAAAATTGTTGATCCAGCCAGCAGCCCTGCTCCAGTTAGGACATATTCTTGGGCAGTTTCTCTGCTGTTCAACAGTCCAGATGCTGATAAAAACAGTCATGAAAAGAAACCAGGACAAATCAAAGGGGAGCTTAGCTCCTTTCATCTAGAATATTTTGGTCGAGAACTCAGATGGTTAAGGGTCTGCTTACCAAGAAGGATGAGAGCTTCTGGAAGAGATCCTAGAACATGAAATGCACTTGCACCAAAAATGCCAGGGCCTAGAATTTTGAAAATTCGTTCCCCTCCAGAAGCAACTAATGATTCTCCCCGAAACAGCAGGTATTCATACACCACGATAAGGAAGAGATGCCCCAAAAGAGTGTTTGAGCATGGTAAGAAACCATACAGTTGCTTACATCCTTCTGAAGAATCCATCCCTTTGAAAGCTATAAAGGATGATGACTCCTTTTCACGGAAGTCATCAACGCCATCTGAAACCAATTCAAGATGGTTGTCGTGGCCTAGTAATACTCTACCAGCTGCAACGTTGGCTGTCAATAGCAATAGAAGAAGAAAACCCACAAGACTTGCAGTTTTTCCCATTAATCCGATCGATATCACGAGTACCGTTGATCCTAAAGAAGCAAGGCAGCTGTTCAAAAAAAAAAAATTTTTTTTTGATCTTCAAGAATTGGCAGCTTGGAATGCTGATTAGAAATGAAGTTTGATGAGCCAATGAATTTGTCAAGTTCTTATAATACTACCTACTTTTGGTCAGTTGACCTGGGACAGGAGGAGCTCCTATTCACAGAATCCGAGTTTGAAGCTCATATGATAGCAGGATGTGGAAACAGGTATTAGAAAATTGTCTATAATGTGTTGATCTGGCCTTTTTCTTGAAGTTGAAACTTCTACCTATATTGCTTCTAGGAAGATTCCTAATACTATCCATATACAACACTAGCAGTATACTTTTCAACGTTCTGTAACTCATTTTCCCAAACTTAGAATCGGAGAGTCGTGAAGCTGATGAATTTATCCTCTCCGGCCACCTTAGATTTTGTCAACACACCTCCACGAACCTTATTAGGGCCAAGTCTATAAAACCGAATCTCTATCACTTAACTCAAAAAAAAAAAAAAATTAATGACAGAGAATACAATTTTGTGGGGTTGGGGGAAGAGGTAATGTAAGGAGGGAGTTTTGGATTCAAGATCTCTGGCGTACCAAAAAAAAAAAAAAAAGTGAAGAGAATTAATTGATCAATTTGTTAATCAGATCTATCAAATTTATATGTAAGTAGACTAATATCATGCTTATTCGTTAAATACTAGTATATAGGTTATATTCCTGTGATTAATAACAGCAATTATTATGTAATGATCTGTATCTGTTGACAAAAATCTTCAATCCCTTTTCACTTATTGATTAAATTCACACTTGTTCTAATCACGCAAGTACATACAATTTGTTGATAATATTGCCGCTGGGGTGAACTTTTAGCTTTTGGTCCAAATATTTGTTGATAATATTGCCATTGGGGTGAACACGCAAGTATATACAATTTGTTGACAATTTTATACGTATGGCATGCATCCAAATTGAACTCTAAATTTTACACGCATGTATCGCATCCAAGTCCATGTGTACACTTAAAAATATACGTGCGATGCTTTGAGGTGTGGATGGTCAAATTTTATTAGCCCACATGGAACGACGAAACTTGAGAAATTGATGGGAAGATGTGGAACTCTTGAGCGAGCACTGAATTGCGTAAAATAGAGAGGTTGTCATTGTCGAGACGAAAAGTTCATTTGGGCCACCAAAAGAATGCACGGTTAAAGAACAGGTGCTGCCAAATTTTCCTGCGTGGCAGAAGAATAAAGAATAGTGATGGCAACTAGTTAGGAAGAATAGTGTATAAACATGTCAAATCATATAATCATAATTAAAGTACAGTGGCCACTAGATTACACTCTTGAGAGTTACATCAGACAAAGAAGCAAGATTCTTGCCGCTGCTGCACATTTTCTAAGATTTTAACATGGTCAGGCAAGCAACTACATGCAATCAAGACAGACTTTGGCTAGCAAACAAGTTGAACTTGGATTCAAGTGTCAATGTTGAAGTATCTGAATGTAACAGTTTTTCTTGGAAACTCAGTGCAGGAAAGTTTTGATCCAACAAAGACTGTTGGTGTATTATGTATGGCATCAATGACAAGAATCTATAATATAAAACTCCCAAAAGTCTGGATTGTGATCAACGAGTTACTAACCTAGCTAAGTCTACCTAATGCCAGAATGAATTGTGTATTTGTACCTCTGATCTGAGCTAGCTATATCACAAAAATGTGCCATTAAAAATTCATAGCTGATCGAGCTTTCAAAAACAAGCATACTCACGTACATGAGTACGTAGATTGGTTTGCTGACAATTTTGCTGATGCAGGAGTGCTGCATTATGCCTGCAGCACTGGATTTTTTGTGGAAATTTCTCGAGATCAGGAGAAGTTTCATTGATTTGGGATTGCCATGAAAGTCCACGTTATTGGCACTTATTTCACTAATCAATGCCACTCACTTTGATTGTGGCTTGATAGTTTAGGAATTCTGCATCAGCAGCACTGAAACTGTACAAAAATGTATATAACTCATCACACCTTCATCTACGAACTGCTCTCCAGCTTGAACTTTAATCAGCCGTTTAGGTAATGTATTTCCTCAAAAGATTTTCTTCACCAAAGTTCCCGAGTTACTAAATTCATATGCGCCACAAAATTGTACCTGTATGCATATTAATCTCTTAGCATCCAAATAACTTCAAATATATTCTCCTTGCGCCTCTTCTCGATGAGGTAAATATTCTATCCTGGACTGCCTCTTAATCTGGCATACATCACCAACTGGCACTGACACTAATCCTAGTTTCTTACAACTCTCACAAATCAACTATTAATCCATTCAATACCATGAATATATTTAGTTATCTATACATGGCATGTGCTCTTACTTTTCATGAGTTTAATGGAGTAGTTTAATAAGTGGAGATGGCACCTTGTTAGGTACAGTTTTGAAAGTTCAAAGGACTAAGTACGGGGACAAAATTTTAGTGCAATTTAATAACAAGACTTAAATCTACAGTAGAATTTCCAGGAAATTGTCTTCCCTCCATTCATTCAAAGTTGAAAAAGCAATCATTGTCCGTGCTCTATAAATATATAGGAGGAAGTGGCGGCTTTAGTTGGAACTTAGATCCAGCCACCCAATGGAAATATCTCCTTATCTCCTACTGTTCCTTTCCGCCTTGGCCTTTTCAAATCTTGAACAAGTTTCAATGGCCAGCGGAAGTATGCACGAGGAGAAAACAAAAAAGGAAAATTTGTCAAATTGGTCCCTAATATTTTCACAAAACACTTTTTTAGTTCCTAATATTTAAAATCAACTAGAATAGTTCCTAACATATAAATTATGAGTCAATTTGGCTCTAATGCTCGTATTTGCTCTTTTTTCCACCTAAAAATAGTACACTGGCATAATTTCAAGAACAAAATTGAAAAAATTCATTAATCTATAATTTTGCATCCCTCAAACTCTTCCACCACTTCTTCAATTGATTCTCACCCTTGTGTTGAAACTTTCCAAAGGCTTTGTGGGTTTAAGAAGGTGCAGAGAATTCTTTGCCAAATAAGAAGATAAAAATAAATTCTTTGTTGAAATTGATATCGAATTCAGAGATTTCCAAACTGAAAAGGGTCTTCTTCTCAATAACCATAGCTGCCTGAGAGAACCCATGTTGCTGATTCCTTGGTTAAGAGGAGCAAGGACGCATGATTTTACGAAGTCAGAAGCAGAAGAAGAGATTGGGTCAATGGCTGAATAGAGACGAAGGAATACGGGCTCTGTTCAAGCAAAGATAGCCTGTGGACTTGCCAAAATGCTCCAACAGCTTTCTTACCAAATTTGAGCAATCAATATGAGGGAATTGCATATATTGGTACAGAGTATTGTGGAAGAAGATGGTTATGCATTGGAAGCCGCTGGTTGTGACAGATGCAGGCTCTGTCTTGTTTGAAAGAATTGAAGCTGAAGCTTTCCAACCCACAAAGCCTTTTGCTTAATTTTCCATCTCCGGAATTTAGATGTCCTCTTTCTGGACAACTCATGATTGACCCTGTTGTCATAGCCTCTAGCCAGGTTAGTAGATTTCTCATTAATCTTCTGTTCGAGATTGAAACTTTTTTTTTGGTGGCTTTGATATTTCTTGAAACTTCTTTTTGGTGTCTTTGATATTTCTGTCTTTTCATTCAATTATTCTTGTTTATTCTCCATCCTAGTAGCAGTAGGTTGAGAATCAATTGAAGAAGCGGTGGAAGAATTTGAGGGCCGCAAAATTGTGGATTAATGAATTTTTTCAATTTTGCCCTTGAAATTATGTCGGTGTACTATTTTTAACCGGAAAAAAGAGTAAATACGAGCATTAGAACTAAACTGGCTCATAATTTATATGTTAGGAACTATTCTGGCTGATTTTAAATATTAGGGACTAAAAAAGTGTTTTGTGAAAATGTTAGGGACTAATTTGACAAGTTTTCCAATAAAAAATATTCAGGCTGTCAAAGGCATGATAGGTGCAATTGTTGATCACAATATCCGCATAGGTAAAGAAGAGATAGTAGCAATGGACATGGCCGTTGAAGATGTCTACAACCAGACAAAACAAAAGGTGATTCTTTGTTGGAAATTTTTTAAAATTTGTATGTTGTACATACATGTAATTAATGTATATTCATGTTTTTTGGTACATGTATAGTATTGTGAATATTTCTACTATGTACATTCATTTATGAATGTGTTCATGTATATGAGAATTCTTGAATGAAAGGATAGATTCATATTTTGATCTTAAGATCATGAGGTGCATGAATTAAAGTGCATGAATTTGTAAACAATACTTTGAATCTATTCATACAAGTATTTAATGAGTTCTTTTGTTTCTCAAACAATCTTGCTATATAAAGAGGTCAAGTAGAGAGTGATTTATTGTAGAAAATCACTTTCTTACTATTGTATACTCTCTCGAAAGCACTCATTAGTTCACAAAGGATTTGTCTTGCTTTGTGTAAGAGTTTAACACAAACAAATTTCATCTTATCCTAAAAGATATTTGTCCAAGATTATTGCACGTTATACCGGACAAATAAATCCTAAAGAAAAATGATATCTATCACGATTTGAAACCAATTCTTGTCACCATATTTGTCAGTCCTTTACTATTTACCCAACATTTTTTAGCTTTTATTTGATACTCTACAATGGCTGGTACCTTGAAAGAGTTGGCATCCAACATTGTCAAGCTTGAGAGGTTTGATGGAGAAAATTTCATTCGTTGGCAAAAACGTATTCGTTTCCTTCTCACTGCACTCAAAGTGGTCTATGTTTTGACCATACCAAAATCATTGATCAATCCTGAGAAATAAACTCTTGAAGACATCCGAAAACGTAAAAAATGGGAGAACGACGATGAAATATGCCGTGGTCACATCCTCAATACCATGAGTGACAGCTTGTTTGAGCTTGTTTGATATCTACCATTCAATTACTACAACCCAAGAACTTTGGGATCGTTTGGAATCCAAGTACATGCAAGAAGATGCTACAAGTAAGAAGTTTCTTGTCTCATCTTTTAATAATTATAAAATGGTAGATAGTAAGTCTATTATGGAGCAATTTAGTGAGATTGAAAGACTTTTTAATCACTTCACACAACATAATCTACACATGGATGAAGCCATAATTATTTGCTCTATGATAGATAAGTTACCACCTTCTTGAAAAGATTTCAAGAGAGACTTCAAACATAAGAAAGAGGATATCTCTCTTGAGATTCTTGCTAAATCTCTTTGAATAGAAGAGAAAATTCGCATGCAAGAAAAGAAGGATACTCAAATCCCTGAAGAGAACAAAGATTCTACTTCAAAAGTACATGTGATTGAAGAGAGACAAACTGAAAAATCTCAAGGATGCAAGAAGAGCCAACAACCCAAGAATCAGTCCAAGAAAAAAAAGAAAAGACAATACTTCTATTGCAAGAAAGAGGGACATTATAAGTCCGAGTGCAAGATTCTTCAAAACAAAAAAAAGAAGCAAGAGTCTTCCCAAAACACAAGCAAAAATCTTATGGCAATGATCTCTGAAATCAATATGATTGAAAATGATTTTACTTGGTGGGTTGATTCTGAAGCTACGCGACACGTGTGCAACAATAGAACGTTCTTCAAATCCATAAAATCGGTGGATGAGAGCACCGCTGTTTACAATGCAAAATTCTGCTACAATTTCGGTTCAAGGCATTGGAGAAATAGAATTAAAATTTACTTATGGCAATGTTGTAACCTTGACAAATGTGTATTATGTACCGAAAGTTAGGAAAAACTTGGTGTCGGCTGGTTTGTTAAATAAATTTGGCTTTAGACTTGTGTTTGAGGCTGACAAATTTATTTTGTCTAAAGGTGGTATGTTTGTAAGCAAGGGTTATCTTTGCAAAAGAATGTTTAAGCTGAATGTACTTGCTATTAGAAATAATAAGAATGATATTGTTTCTTCGTATTTGGTTGAGTCTTTTTTTGAATTGTGACATAATGGGATTGGTCATGTTAATTATAAAAGAATGCATGAAATGATGAGACTTGATTTGCTGCCATATTGTGATAAGATTGAAGGAAAATGCAGAACATGCATGCTAGCGAAAATCACAAAAAATTCATTTTCTAAGGTTGAAAGATCATTTAAAATCTTGGATCTTATTCATAGTGATGTATGTGATTTGCATGGTACTCCTACTTTGGGTGGTAAAAATTACTTTGTAACTTTTATTGATGATTATAGTAGATACTGTCATGTTTTCTTGTTACATTCAAAAAGTGAAACATTGCAAAAATTTAAGACATACAAATCAGAAGTTGAACTTCATTGTGAATTCTTTATCAAATATCTAAAAACAGATAGAGGTGGAGAGTATTATGATATTACCTATTTTGAGTCTGTTGGGATAAAACATGAGGTGACTACTCCTTATACACCACAGTAAAATGGTGTAGCCGAGAGAAAAAATTGTGTATTGACAGAAATGATTAATGCACTTTTGTCAAAATCTGGACTAAGCCAATAATTTTGGGGTGAAACCTTGTTAACGGTTTGTCATATCCTAAATAGAGTTTCTAATAAAAGGAGTTCTATAACCCCTTATGAATTGTGGAATAAAAAAAAACCCAACCTAAACTATTTGAAAGTTTGGAATTGTAGGGCTGTTGTAAAACTCCCAGAACCGAAAAAAAGAAAATTGGGAGAAAGAGGTGTGGAGTGTATATTCTTAGAATATGCACAAAATAGCAAAGCATATAGGTTCATAGTAATTGAACCTAATGATTCAATTTTGGTTAATACCATAATTGAATCTAGAGATGCTATTTTTGAAGAGAATAGGTTCACCTCTATAAAAGATGTTATTCCAAAACTATGTGAATTAACAAAAGATGATGAAAATGAAACCATTGAATTGAGAAGGAGCAAAAGAATTAGAAAGTCAAAAGACTTCGGTTCGAACTTTTATATGTATCTAGTTGAAGGAACTAGAGATACAGTTAGCAACCAAATTTCATATTGCTTCAATATTGAGGCTGATTCCAAAATCTATGAAGAAGCAATGAACTCACAAGATGTTCCTTTTGGAAGGAAGCTATTAATGATGAGATGGACTCAATCATGGATAATAAATCCTGAAAATTAGTAGACTTACCACCTGGTTCAAAACCAATCGGTTGTAAGTGGATCTTCAAGAAGAAAATGAAAATCGATGAAACTATTGATAAATTCAAGACCAGGTTGATTGCCAAAAGGTTCACACAAAAGTATGGTGTGGACTATTTTGACACATATTTTCCAGTAGCTAGAATTGCTACAATTAGAGTGCTACTTGCTATAACTTCTATCCAAAATCTAGTTATTCACCAAATGAATGTTAAAACAGCATTTTTGAATGGTGATTTGAATGAAAAAGTATATATGGAGTAACCCGATGGGTTTGTGATACCTGATCAAGAGCATAAGGTGTGTAAACTTGTAAAGTCTTTATATGGACTAAAACAAGCACTGAAGCAATGGCATCAGAAATTTGACCAAGTTATTCTTGCTAGTGGATTCAAAATAAATGAATCTGATAAATGTATTTATAGCAAGTTTAGTGATGGCAAAAGTGTCATAATTTGTTTATATGTTGATGACATGTTAATTTTTGGGACTGACTTGGAACAAGTTGAAGTCACAAAAATTTTGTTTTCAAGCAAATTTGACATGAAAGATATGGGTGAAGCAGATGTTATTCTTGGTATAAGAATCTTCAAACATGGTAACAATATAATGTTGTTTCAATCACATTATATTGAAAAGGTTCTTAACAAATTCAATCAAAGTGATTGTATTCCAGCCTCAACACCATTGGATCCCAAAATAAACTTTGTGAAAAATGAGGGGGATCCAAAATCTCAAATGGAATATGCTAAGGTTATAGGGTGCTTAATGTATGCAATGACTTGTACTAGACCTGATATTGCATATGTAGTTGGTGTATTGAGCAGACATACAAGTAACCCTAGTAGGTTATATTGGCAAGGTGTAACCAGAATTTTAAAATATTTAAAGATCACTAAGGATTATTATATATATTATACCGGTTATCCTTCAGTTTTAGAAGGATTTTCAGATGCTAGTTGGATCACCAATAAAGATGATCACTCGTCGACAAGTGGTTGAATCTTTATACTTGGTGAAGGTGTAGTTTCTTGGGGTTCTAAGAAACAGACTTGTATCACCGATCCAACAATGGCAGCAGAATTTGTAGCACTTGCTTCGGCTTGTAAAGAAGTTGAATGGCTATGTAATTTACTTTGTGATATACCATTTTGGCCAACACCTTTATCGTCTATCTCAATCCATTGTGATAGTGCAGCTACACTTGCTAAAATATATAGTCAAGTGTATAATGGTAAGTCAAGACATATACTCTTCTAGTAAAAAACTCTCGAGGGAAAGCTGTCCAGGCGACTCTTTCTGGTATATATGCATTTTCTTTTCCTTGGATACTGTTGAAGTGTTTGTCGTGAACATTGAATGATTGCTTGAGCTAAAGCATCTTATAATACGATTAAAGTAACCGGAATTTATATAAACTACAACGATGAGAAAAGAACAACTCCATGCAATTAATTAAGTACGATACTAATTGTCTTGTTTCCATCGTATTGTAGCTAGGGATCTTATCAAGAAGAAGAAGGCCCAAGTCATTTTGGGATCAAGATCATGGGAAGAAACATCCTCAGTTGCTGAGCTTGGGAATCAATATGGCATCCCTACTCTTTCTTTTGCTGATCCATGCCCTTCATGGGCCACCGAACGTTGGCCATTCTTTATTCAAGCTTCTCCCAGCAAATATTTGCAAATGAAAGCGGTGGCTGCTATGGTCCAGTCCTGGGGATGGCGCCGGGTTAATGTCATTTATGAGGATACAGATTCTGCTGTAAATGGAATAACACCTCATCTGTATGACGCCTTGCAGGAAGTTGGAGCTCAAATTAGTCATCTTACAGCCCTTCCATCTTTTCCAAATGCTTCAATGTTGTGCGGGGAGCTTGCGAAGCTTAAGGCAGAACAATGTAGAATCTTTGTAGTTCATGCTTCTTTGGCCTTAGCAGAACGCATATTTCAAATGGCCAAGGGGATGAAGATGATGGAACAATGTTATGTGTGGATCACCACAGACAGTGTAACAGGCCTTGTCCATTCAATGGACGTCTCCATGATGTCATCGATGCAAGGTGTACTTGGAGTAGAGAGATATTATCATGATAAAGAGCGGAAGTATCAGGATTTCTATGGAAGATTTCAATATGAATTTGGCTTGAAGTACGCCGAAGAAAAGAACCATGAGCCTGGAATTTCTGCACTAGAAGCCTACGATGCCACCTGGACCGTGGCTTTAGCAATGAAAGAAGGCAAAATCAATCACCAACATCTTCTTGACAAGCTTTCCATCACAGATTTCAGCGGATTAAGTGGTAAAATTCAGTTTTCTGAGCAAATATTAGCTCCATCTGTGAATATATTTCGAATAATCAACGTTGTTGGAAGGAGTTATTTAGAACTTGGAATCTGGTCAGATGGAATAGGATTTTCTGTGGAAGTTGGTGAGAATGCCAAAAACAATGTCTCGATGGAAATTTTCGGAAAGTTGTTTTGGCCTGGAGGACCTCTGAATGCTCCAAGAGGGTGGGACATCGCAACTGTTGCCAATGCAATGAGAATTGGCGTGCCTAATGCATCCCTGATCAAGCGCTTCGTTGATGTGGAATATGATCCATTGACAAAGAGTTATGCTGTGTCTGGATTTTCAATTGATGTATTCAAAGAAACTGTAAGTTATTTGCCATATTTTCTACCATACAGTTTCATTCCATTTGACGGCACCTATGATGCTCTAGTGGAGCAAGTTCGATTAAAGGTCAGTCTATTTTTTTTTTAAACTTCGTTCAATGTTTTGTTTTTTGACCAATTTATCTCAAATTGGACAACTATATTTCATAGTCTCCTAGAGCAAATTGCAGAGGCAACATTGAAGGACATGTTAATGAACACTTGGGATCCTCGGTGACATGTTTTTCTATGTCAATTCAATGCCACCTATAGTATTGCGCCAAGTGTCCTGTTATTATTTACACTTTAATTTTCTAATAATTCAACTTGGTTTGGTTTAACACAAGTATAAATAATAACATGACACTTGGCACAATATTATAGGTGGCATTGGGTTGGCATAGAAAACATGTCACCGAGGATCCCAAGTGGTTAATGATTCGGATCCATAACTAATCTTCAGCTCTTTATAGGCACAGGCAATCAGCCTATTACATTGGTTCTTCGTGAATAGGAAGATCAGACATCATAAATGAACTAATAGTTATTTAATGTTCATATAATTGACCTTTGGATCCAATTGAACTTGATATGCTTCATGCAGAACTTTGATGCAGCAGTTGGCGACATAGCAATAATATCCAAGCGATGTGTAGATGCAGATTTCACGCATCCTCACATTGAATCAGGGCTTGTGTTGATAGTCCCCATTCAATCACAATCTAACAGGAGTTGGCTGTTCCTGAAGCCGTCCACAAAAGCAATGTGGTTCCTTATAGCATCAATAAATGTTTACAATGGTTTTGTCATATGGATGATTGAACGAAATTACTGCTCAGAATTGAAAGGATCACCTTTGAATCAGATTGGAACTCTGCTCTGGTTGGCTTTTGCTACATTATTTTCACCACAAGGTAAACATTCAAAATCCAATTTAGCTAATTGAAAGAAAAAAGAGAACATAAGAAAATGTTAATACGTATCTTTTTGCTTTGAGGACAGGTGAAAAATTGCATAGCAACCTGTCAAGGGCAGCAACATTGGTGTGGTTGTTTGTCGCACTAATCATATCACAGAGCTATACAGCAAGTCTTACAAGGATGCTCACTGTGCCCAGGCTTGAACCAAAGGTTGCAAACATTGACACACTGAGAAATAGCAATGCAGTGATTGGGTACTCGAGAAAAACTTTTGTTAAAGATTACTTGTTGAATGTCTTACATTTCAACCCAAACAACATCAAGAATTTTTCATCATTCAAAGAATGTGCTGAAGATCTTAAGAATGGTAGAATTGCTGGAGCATTTCTTGAGGTTCCTACTTCTAAAGTTTTCCTTGCCAAATACTGCAAGAGCTTTATGACAACAGGCCCAACATACAAATTTGGAGGTTATGGATATGTAATTCTCTACCCATTTAGCTTCATTGAAGTATATGTTTGCTATTTTTCCCATTCCTTCTCTGCCTACTACAATTTTTGTTAGCCTAGAAGACTATGATCCATGCCTACTGTACATAATAAAATCTGAAACAATTAATCCAAACAATTCTAGGTGGGATATGGGCTCAATTATCTGAATGTTCAAACATCAACCTTGAAAACCTTACTAGATCACCTTTTTTTTTTTTTAATGAGATGCTCACATGTACATTAGCAAAATTTAGATCTGCATCCAGCATCATCGTCATCACGAGATTATTCTTGTCTCAGGCATTCCCAAAAGGATCTCCACAAAGTCATGACATAAATTGGACTGAATTTCTGGCTCTCAAGTTGTCCCCGTAAAACTTATTTCTTGCGCTTCATTCAAGCAGCTTCCACCTCATTCTTCTGACCTAGTCTCATTCCATACGAAAATCACACGAGATTCATTCAGATATCAAAGCGTTGCACACTTTTCTTTTCTTTTCTTTAAATACCATTTTGCTTTCTTTTGGCAAGTCTATGGCTCGGACATAGCCTACATATGGAAAATATTCAGAAGAAGGGCTAATCCCCCATTCATGGGATTGTGATTATTTCTTCATTTTCTCGTAATGTATACGGGCTTGAGCCCTCAGCCTATGATTTTTGCTTTTCCTGATCAAATCTCATACCCTACTTCATGCACATTATGAACGCGATTACAAATGTGTGGAGTGCATTAATCTTGTGTCTCCCCCTTCAGTTTTTACTAAGGTACTTGAACAACAGTTATGAGTTGTTGAGTATGGAAAGGAGAGGGGATGACCGTTTTTATGTTGACTGACTTACTCTTGTAGTTGTAGAAACTCTTGAGGTTGGCCATAAATGGGATATTCGTTGAGGTGATTACTTCTCTGCATAACGCGGACTTTGACCAATTCTTATTGTCGAAAGTCCTAGGTCTCTCAAGAGTTTACTGTGTCCCGATTTTGAAGAAGCTCCTGTCCTCTAAATTTTTAAAGTTTAACGTCAAATCTAGCCAGAGAAGCAAACAAAAGGGAACAAAACAACTAATTTTGGTGGTCCAAAGTGTTTGTTGGGGACTGACCCTCCAAGCATCTTAAATTCCTTTTTGCTTTTGTTCAATTATTTAGGTTTACCAAAGTATTCAATTAATAATCTTCTAAAAGCAACAAGAAAGGTGAAATTTAGCCAATCTCTCTCTCTCTCTCTCCCTCCCGAGCCATTTGTAAATAGTAAATACTAGATGATGAACTGGGATGAGAAGTTGTGAAACCAGTCTGGAGTGTAGAACGGGGAAGTTTGTCTTTGACAAGACTAATAATCTCATTTCGTCAACTGAACGAATCCTATCCCAGGTTGATAAACATGAGCTTACGAATTTTTGTTTCCGCGGCAAAATAATACTATAAAAGATTGACTGTAATGGAGACAGATGATGCGTGCATGGTAGTTAGCAGTGAGACTTCATGACTGTAACAAGAAAATTGGGAGCTGGTGGATAGATAGTCTTGGCTAAACCAGACAAGATTCTTCATTCTTGAGTCTGCTCAACATTTTCCTCGGCCTTCGATAGGTTCGAGTGTTTACTATATATGTAGAAATATTTATTTTGAAAGCGAAATAATAATGGAAAGCAAATTGCAGATGCTGCATGCTTTGAAAGTTACAACCTAGTTTTTCCAACCATATCATTATTCTAACCTCTTTCCCCTCTATTTTATGATATATTTATCATTCCATCCATAGGTCGAACCAGAAATTTTCCTTCCGAGAGGGGTGGCGAACTCTAATTCAACTAATACTTAAATATGTAACTTGAAATATTTTAAATTTTTTGCAGGGGCAAAAGTTTGGTTTTACGCAGAATTTTTTCCTTAAAAAATTTTCAATTGCTCAAGAGAGAAAAAGAGAATTTTTCATCTGTAAATACTTTCCCGAATTTTTAAAATCTGAAATTATATAAAATAACAACGAAAAGAGATTTAATGTGTCTGACTTTTCAAAGTTACATGGCCTGACTACAACGAAAGACTAGTGGGTTTGTTTGGATTAGGAGTTTATTTGGATGATTTATTTGAGATAATTACTGTAGCACTTTTTGTGATGTAATGTGTGTGAGATAAAAAGTGATTGGAAAGATAAAAAGGTGATTGGAATTTGTGAAACAAATTATTTTTATCTGAAATCATGTCTATCCAAACAAACTCAATTATGGACTTTGATTCAAGTATCTAAGCTTGATTTTTTAACGGTGTGATGTTATTTTGTGTTATACACCTAAGACAAGCATCAGAACTACTTTTTTTTTTTTTATTTAATTTCCCAAAATTTTGGATCATCATATCAATGAGTAGTAGTACTTACCTAACCAACCCTATAAATTATGCATCTCACTACGAGCTTCCTGCAGGAACACCAATAAACATATAGTAGGTCAAGGTCACGTCTGGATATTATATATGCCCCTCTACATCAGTCTTCTTCAAGGAAAGCTGCATGAACCTTACCTGGAATTTTCTCTACATCAGTTCTTCCATTGAGCTTCTGCTTTTTACGAACGTTACATCTCATGTAACTTCCCATGCATTTGTTTATGGTCACTGCTATATATTGACTTGGATCATTGGATTATGCTCATTTTGTTTCATCTTTGCAGTATTGCACACGATCAGTTACTTCTTCTGGAAGCCGAAGCAGTGAATTTCTCACACTGGTCATCTTTGAACTCTTTTCCAAATTAAGATCTAGTAGCTTAAATTATTGAAAACAGAAAGAAAGAAAAAAAAAACCGATTTCATTTCGTCTGAATTGAATTTTCTCTTCAACATTTGCTCAACTGCAGGTCATGATCTTTGAATATATATATATATATATATATATATATTATATTCTCGTGTAAACACAAATTTTATTCTGTTCTCTTAGGTAATTTTTGTCTTATATTATTGTCTCTTAACATTCTTCGTGTTGCTTGCTTAATAGTTAATTCGACGACAATTTTGCAATCAAAATAATGTAGTAGTATTCACTAATTCAACTTGTACACTAGATATTACCAAGGTATATATTTTTAGATTTTCAAATGTTCTTCCCAGTCTTCGAAAGAAAGTAGGGATGTTGAGGTGACTATTTACCTCTCCAATTTGATGGGAATTTCCGCGAAACTGGCATCCTTTGAACAATCAACAAACGAATCATTCTCCAATACCTGCGGATAAATATAGGAGATGTTAAGTGTGGACTGTAGAGTCTGAAGTAAAACCAGCTCTATTCAATGGCTCCTACGTATGCCGATCTTCTTCTACTCCTCCTTTCCGCCTTGGCCATTATCAATCTTGATCAAATTTTCATGGCCAATGGAGGTATGCATAGTTCGAAAACAGAAAATGTCGAGGCTGTCAAAGGCATAGACGTCGGTGCCATTGTGGACTTGAGTGCTCGAATAGGTAAAGAAGAAGCAGTAGCAATGCAGATGGCTGCTGAAGATGTAGGCAACCAGACAAGACGACGTTTAACTCTGCTACTGAAAAATTCTCAAGGAGAAGCTGTACAGGCGGTTCTCGCCGGTAATACTTTGGATTATCTTGAATTTTTTTTTTTTTGGGTACTAATTGGTTGGTTCAGCTCAGGCAAAAAGTAAACAAATTGCAAAACGAACAGCTATCTAATAATTAAATAGAGTTTTGATTAACAATCTTAAGTTTGCAGCTCGACATCTTATCAAGAAGAAGCAAGTCCTAGCTATCTTGGGACCAGGGTCAGGGGAAGAAACATTCTCAGTTGCCGAGGTTGGCACTCAATTTGATGTTCCCATTCTATCTTTAGCTGACTCGTGTCCTTCATGGGGGACAAAACGTTGGCCATTCCTAGTTCAAGCCTCTCCCAGCAAAAATTTACAAATGAAAGCAGTTGCTGCCATTGTCCAATCTTGGGGATGGCGCCGGGTTAATGTCATATATGAGGACATAGATTCTTCTGCAGATGGAATTACACCTCAACTCTATGATGCCTTGCAAGAAGTTGGAGCTCAAATCAGCCACTTGACTGCCCTTCCATCTCTTGCTAATGCTTCAACACTGTCTGAAGAGCTCCATATGCTCAAAAGAGACCAGTGTAGAGTCTTTGTAGTTCATGTCACTTTGGCCCTTGGGGAACGCTTATTTAACATGGCCAAGGAGAAGAAGATGATGGAACGAGGCTATGTATGGATCACTACAGACAGTCTAACAAGCCTTGTCCATTCCATGGATGCATCTACGATTTCATCAATGCAAGGTGTACTTGGAATAAAAAGCTACTATGATGACAAAGGGCAGAAGTATCAGGATTTCTGCCAAAGGTTTCAATACAAATTTGGCTTGAAGCACCCTAAAGAGAAGAACCATGAGCCTGGAAATTCTGCACTGGAAGCCTATGATGCCATCTGGACAGTGGCTTTAGCACTGCAGGAAGGCAACATCAATCACCAACTTCTTCTTGACAAAATTTCAACGGCAAATTTCACTGGAGTAAGTGGAAAAATTCACTTTTCTGAGCAAAGATTAGCTCCGGTAACTGTATTTCAAATTATTAATGTTATAGGAAGGAGTTATCGAGAAGTTGGATTCTGGTCATACGGCAAAGGATTTTCTATGTCTGTTGATGAGACAGCCCAATGGAATGTCTCTATGGGAGTTTTGGGACAGTTATTTTGGCCTGGAGGACCTCCAGATACTCCTAAAGGATGGGACATCCCAACAGTCTCCACTCCATTAAGAATTGGCGTGCCCGGTGCACCCCTTGTCAAGTATTTTGTGAAAGTGGAAATTGATCCTATTACGAAGGGTTACTCTTTCTCAGGTTTTTCAGTTGATGTATTCAGAGAATCTGTCAAGTATTTGCCGTATTTTCTACACTATGATTTCATTCCTTTTGAGGGCACCTATGATGCTCTGTTGGAGCAAGTTCGACTAAAGGTAAGAATTTTTTGTTCTTTGTGATTGAGAACGACCTTTTGTAACGTTATCCCAAATGGAACTGTATTAAATTTCAAAGTGTCACTGAGGAAATTGCAGA